TTTTTTTTTTTTTTTTTTTTTTTTTTTTTTTTTTTTTTTTTTTTTTTTTTTTTTTTTTTTTTTTTTGTTCACTTTACAAAATTCATCAGTTATTATTAAATTACTTGTCTTTTTTAATTAAAATAATAATAATTTAAATTAAATTACAAATTTAATCACATTTAATTATAATAATAATTTAAAATTGAATGTGGATAAACATTATTTGTGAAAGAATTTTTAGTTTAGGTTAATTATTATAGAAGGATTAGGAAGGAAATAGTTTTATTTATGTTATTTTCTCAATTGATGACGTATGTTATTAGCATTATATTAATTACAAGCACACGTAACTAAAAGGTTATTTTATTTTTATTTAACTTTAATTGTGGAGATAAGGTTTCGTTTGATTGGACAGACCTAATAATCATTATTTTGGAGGCTTATGTTATAAAACATCGTATTAAGTAATTAAATACAATTATAATGTGAATTCATCAAAATCAAGCTTATAAAAAAATTATATATTTTATGTAAATGCATAAATATTAATTTTTAATTTTATCAAATATCGCAATTTTAATTCTCTAATAAATTCTGGCTTTAATGTATTTAATGTATTATTATAAAATTAATAAAATTCTAAAAAAATGGAATTAGAGTTTTTTTTTTTTAATTGAAATTTATGAATTTTGAAAAGCTATTCCGTGGTTATTACGACTAAAAATAAAAATGTAGTTCAAAAGTTAAAAAATATTAAACTGAGATTTAAAGTAAGGCAACGATCCCAAAAAGAAGAAATTAAAATTAAAAAATAATAAAAGAAATACAAAAATAATACAACTTTATAATACCATACCTAATTTTGTGGGTGGAAAACCCTTTTGCCTTTTCATCCAAGAGGGCCAATCCATCTAACCCTTTATTATTATTATTTTCACTTATCTGACCCTTTCAAAAACTCTTTTTTCTTTTTAAGGTTAAAATAATTTGAAAATCTTCTCCTAACCGACATGTTTTAAAGTTTTGAAGAGAAATTCAAAGAGGACAATATCTGCTAGCGGTGGATCTAGGCTATTACAAATGGTATTAAAGCTAGACACCGAACAATGTGTTAGCTTTCTCGTTGTTACTCGAAAGGAGATAGACATGAGACGGTGTGCTAATAAGAACCTTAGTCTCGAAGGGAGTGAATTTGGTGCGGTCCCAAATCGATTAGATGAAAGAAAGAGGGTCAGCGAAGACATTGAACCTTAAATAGGGTGGATTGTGACCTCCCACGTTAATTGGATAGAAGACTATATTTAAGATTTATAGAAGAAAAGATATATGGTGCAAAACTCGACCCCACTAAGGAAATTATAATTGAATTATGTTTAATTTAAGTTGATTTTTATTATATATTTTAATTATAATATAGAAAATACAACAAACAAATAAATAAATAAATTATTGTAGGGTTAAATTACAATTTCTGTCCCATTATTCTTGAAAAAATAAAAATAAAAAATCCCGTTTTGCTAATATTACTATTATTGTATAAATTGCAAAGTGGAAGGACTCCACCTAATCTCTTCAAATTACTATAATTTTCCTATATTTGGGGTAAACACTCCATTTGCTTATATATTAAAGAGGGTAAAATTGGAATGATAAAAAATAAAAATAAATAAAAAATGGAATTTTGATTTTTTTTTTTTTCTGAAAAAATTTATAACCTAATTTTCAAGCATGTACATTTTTTATTCACCTATTGCCGACATGATCACAACAATAACAACCCTAATTAGGAGCCTAAACTAATATTGATTAATTATTATCAAATCTCTTTAATTAATACACTAACCTAATCTTATTACTATATATGTTTTTTAATAAGATGTGAAATATATTTTAAATGAAGAAAAATAAAGTTTTTTTTTTTTTTTTTTTTTTTCATAGTGGAGCACATAAAGTGTGATTGAACTTAATTGGATAAGAAGATATAAAGGGTATATATGAGAATCTATTTATTAATTATTATTATTTTCGCTGGCTGTATATTAATTATTGTAAGAGTAACCAAAGTCAAATTTGTACCTAATGAGAAGATAATAAATTATTATTTTTTCAACCATAAAGTAAACGTAATATATATATTCATTTATTTATTTTCGACATTTTTAATAAATAATTGTCACACTAATTTACATTATTGTATTGATTGCTAATAATCTTCAACTTGAAATATATAATAAATAATTTTATTTTATAATGACTCTTACATAATGTCATCAGCCTCACGATTTTAAAACACGTCTTTCAAAATTACGCAACGGAACTAGTACTCATCTGTCTTTGGGCTTTCCTTTCCAGATTTCTCTTATGACTTTTGTCAGTTCGTGCATATACTCGGGATCACAATTTTTATATAATCTCTAAATTTTTAATTTTTATTTTCCTAATATTAGGCCTTGCAAATAAATAAAACAAGAGGGGCAGCAAGCAATGGACAGAAGCTACCTCTTTAATTATACCCTAAGTATGGAGAGGAAAGAGGACATAGGGATGATGGAGAATATTGTTAAAATAGAGATAATGACCAAAGTTTAGGTCAATGGTTAGGTTTACATGCATGGAACCCATTTGCAAAAAAAAAACCCTAATTTTTTAATATAATTTAGATTCTTTCTAAATATGAGTTATAGACGGTCGGTGTGAGATCACAAACTTAATGTAATTTTCAAATGAGAGCGACTATAGTTTTGGTCGGTAAAAATTATTTTTAAGTATTTAAAAAATGTAACGTCAATCTCAATCACTTTTTACGAGCTAGAGTAATTCTATCTTACCTTTTAATTACGAATTAAAGATTAAACTTTTATACTATTATCAAATTTAGTGTATTGATTACGTGAATATTTGAAACAAAAGAAAAATTAAATTATTGATGCAAAAGTCGAGACAATTGTATTATTTCATTTTAGTGGAATTTTAATTTTATTGCCATATATTGATGCAAAGCCAAAAGCAAAAGCCTATAAAGGAGTGTTTCGATGCGAAGGGCAATGATGTGTAATGTGATTTACGTTCATCTTGGCCTTTTGTGTTTATTGATTTGCTAGTCATGACTTGTTTGAACTTGTTCTTAATTGACGGTGTAAATTAACTTTTTAAAGAATTCACGTTTATTCCAATTATATAAATATGTATAAGAGACTACGATACATAATTAAGTCAATATCGATAATTGAAAAAGACGATTAAGATTACTGGACTATCCGAAGCAGTTCAAGAATTAGCAATATTGACTTTGAGAAATAATTTTTCTGTGACCTTTTTAGCTACTCAAAACGTCAATTTGGTTACAAGAAAAGAAACATGGTATACTGTAGTTACTGACGGTATCAAGCCACTTTATGACATCATTAATTATTATCGATATTGATTTTATTTATTTTAAATCATTACTGACCAACTTACTTTTTGACCCGAAAAATGGTGATAGAAAAATAGAAGTCCAAAATACATCCAAAAACTTTAGAATATAAAACATTTTGACTAAGGTAGATGACCTGTCCTCCTTTAGTTGATTCCATCCGATAATCAACTTGATTCTCAACAAATTATTCATTTGTTTTTAGCTTATTCTATTACAGTTTGTAGTTTTTTAAAAGTAAGAACGTCTAGAAAAGCTCGAATTCTTGATAACCTCTACAACTATAAGTCAAGCTGCTTCGTTCCTCGAGAACCGCTCACCCCATTTTCACATCAATTGGTCTTTATCAATTAAATCGTCGAAACTAGTCATATGATATCGAACACGAACACGAACACTATAAAGAAAGAAAGAAATGGGTAGTGGGATATGGTCTTTAATAATGCATAAAGTTGAAGGGCTATCAAATCAATGAGGAGAAAAGAGGACTCTTCCAAGCTTGAGCTAATGATTTTTCTTTGCTTTTCATTTACAAGGGAGCTTTAATTTGTTAAAGATGTATGGTCTTCCAATCAAAAATGCTATTACATTGCCATTATTGTGTAGTGCCCCCAACTCATCCAATGACAAAGATTGTTTGTAATTTGGTGACCCTTTAATTTTCAATGTCATGGTCGAGCATTGTCGTGTCGTGGAGCTAGGTAGTGTCTTTTTTATCTTGATAGCAATTTGCAAAATGAGAGAAAGAATATATGAGATCCCACATCGGTTGGAGAAGTAAACGAAACATTTCTTACAAAGGTGTAAGAATCTCTCCTTAGTGAACACGTTTTAAAATTGTTAGGTAGATGACAATAAGTAACGGGTCAAAACGGACAAGCTAAAAACTTTAGTGAGGCAAGACAGCAAATTGATCCTTGCAAAATTCCACTTCTCATGATAGAAAAAGTGAGTCTTTTTTTTAAAAAAATAAAAAATAAATAGAAGAATTTAAATTTATTTTCAATAGACAATGATTTTATGAGCTTGGTCTTTCACCCAATCATGCATAATTTGTGGGACCCTGCCACTTATATCTTTCCATTTTGTTTTGCATGAAAAAAAAATTGCATTGAAGTCCTCAAATTCAAGCTATTTTCATAAATACCCTTGCATAAATTTTATTCTCCAAATATCCCAACAACGATACAAGCGTTTTTGTATGCATTATGAATACCAACAAATAAGGGGTAAAAGTGAAATATAATTTTTCATTAGGGTTAAATATGAAAATGTCTTATTAATATTCCCATGTCCATTGATGAAGTATTTTAGGGTTTTATTGGAAAACGGGCCGAATATTTTTTTTATTGGATAAGTGGTTAATTGAAATCGGCCCATTTAGGCCCATATGTAAAAGATTTCATAGCTAGGCCCACTTAATTAAGCCCAAGATATTTTAACCTCCATCACGTGAGAAAAGATTCGAAGATATCGCGAAAGGAGGATGAAATTCCAATTCATCTCGACCGTCCACGTGTTTACGGGATAACAGATCACCGCCATTATCGCAAGAGGGTATATAAAGCCAAATTTCTGATTGTGCTATGTAATCGCAGCAGATAAGAAAAAAGCAATAAAGAATCAGACTACGGAACTCCAGGGGAGAACGAAAGCGGTGAATATGTTGAGGTTCAGTTCGAAGAGGCTTCTAGGGATTGCGTCGGGGAATATGGCGGCACCGGCGGTTCAAGTCGTCCCGCGTTTCTATCATGAGAGGGTTATTGATCACTACAACAACCCTCGAAATGTTGGATCGTTTGATAAGAACGATCCGACGGTCGGCACTGGCCTCGTTGGTGCGCCTGCCTGTGGCGATGTTATGAAGCTTCAGATCAAGGTTGATGAGAAGACTGGTAAGGTTGTTGATGCTTGCTTCAAGACGTTCGGCTGCGGTTCTGCGATTGCTTCCTCGTCATTGGGTTCGTTTTCTTCTTTTTATCCTTGATTTTTGTTCCTGGGAGATGTTGAGCGCAATTCTGATATTTTAATCCTTCGAGAACGCGTCATTTTTTTTTTTGTTAGTCCAGGATTTTGTGCTTTAATGTATTTCTTGAGTTTTTTGAATCGTCGTTGTTATGCTGGATTTGTTTTATTTTCTCTTTAGGTATTTGTGATATTTTATCGCTGTACTATTTTTAAGGATAAAGGGGTGGGCTTTTAAACGTCGTACCTTTCTTTTATATCGTTGTTGCGGACTTGATATCTGGGCTTCAATTGGAACCGTTGGGATAAATTGCTTACAGTTATTCCATTCGAGTTTCACGATTTAGAAATTATATTAGTGAACGGCTTGAGAATCTGTGTAGCCTGGTTTTTGTATGAATGGGTGCTGAGTTTCGTTGAATGGGACAAAAATACTATTGAAGTTTTCATGAGAAACGTCACCATAGGGATTCCCATTGTTTGTCAATCTCCATGGCCTTAGGAAATCCTGTCATGATCATCTAATGTGGTTCTCCTAAGGACGGTGGGAGTGCCACTCTCTCTTTCTTTATTGTTCGCAATATGCAAATTAAAATCTTGGTCTCTTTGTGAGCCTTCACTTGGAGTAAATAAGGTTTTGAGTTTTTAATTTTTTTTATTTTTTTATTACATATGGGATAGAGTGTTTTATCTGTCTCCGCATTCTGCCTGTGTATTTGTTCTTTACAAGTTTTAAGTACTTTTATGGAGTTCAGTCAATTGTATCTACGTCCTCCTAAATGAGTTTTGAGGTGTTAGGCCCTTTTCTTTTTGAATTGGAGGTGAATCGTGAATCTTTTGGTCCGATCAGATTATATGTGTAGATAAACCTTCATTGATATGTGGATTTTGAACTTGCAGCTACAGAAATGGTGAAAGGGAAGCAAATGGAAGAAGCCTTAACCATTAAAAATTCGTAAGTTAACATTCATTTTTAACCTTTTCATCTCATTCTTGTTCAACATGTTTTCTTTACATTATTCATTTGATTTGGGTTATTTGCGAACATCCACTACTGACCATCTTAAAATTTGATGTCTATCTACAGATTATGCCATCTAAATTTGAATTTTTGTTTCTATTGATTGAACAATTAACATGTAACAACTATAGTTTTCTTGTGCACTGAATGACGTGTATTTCAGTTGGTATTTAGCTTCGGTGAAGGATCCCATATTTTCTTACTTGCATGTTAAGGCATGCAGTCGTGTCATTAGTTAGCAGGTTTAGGATCACGAACTAAAACAAGCTTGCAGTTTAAATGCCCTGAAGACCCTTTGAAAAAGTTGTTAATGATGTAAAAATAATGGTATCAACTTGGTTTTCCTCCCTCTCATTCTTTCAGTGCACAATTCCTCCTCTTGGATATTTTTGAATTTCGAGTATCCAATTCGATGATTGCATTATTGCTAACAAGCCCTTTTGGCTTTGAGGTTTTAACTTGTGAAATAACGTGGGTGTATACCAATTCTGCAGGGAAATCGCAAAGCATCTCTCCCTACCGCCTGTTAAGTTGCACTGCAGCATGCTTGCTGAAGATGCTATCAAGGCTGCTGTTAAAGATTATGAAGCGAAGCGTGCTAAATTGGTGGATGGTGCTGACTCTCCTCCAGTGGAAAAGGCTTCAAGTGCTTAGCTAACTAATGATTGTAAATGATGTAAAAACTGTTATAGTCAAAATCTCCTGTCCAAGGTGCGAGTTCTCTTTCCAGTGTTTTTTATATAGGATGTCAATCATAATTATCACCATATTTTACTTTAAATTGTGTTTCAAGTGTTGGACCGTTGGATTCTTGGATCTTCAATCCCACGTTTGAAAGTCCAATGATGTTGCCGTGCCTATTTCACTGATTGTATGTACATTAACAGCTTACTGATTTAGATTGCTGTTTTCATTTCTATCTTTATAAAGCCGACTTTGGTATATGTTATATAAAACTCTGTAAAAAGTGGGAGAATTGATGTGACCTTTTGATTGGGTAAGTAGTGTTTTGTTAATTAGATTTATAGTCTCCTTGGGATGATTTTTCAACATTTTTTGTAGATTCTTTTTTTATGCTCGCAGCAAGGCATTTGAAATAGGTGTTGACTGTTCTGTTTTCATTAACAATTATGCTCTACATTGTGCATCTTTGTGTGCGAGTGTAGCCATATAAAAAGGTTAGATGTTACAGTGCTTGGAGGGACTGATTATGATCATTATATGATCATATGGCTGATTGGCTATTAGTTTTTAAAGCCTGGTTCGCTAACAGAGCTTCTAATGTATGATCATCACTGACATTCCGTACCTTTTGAAAATGGATTTATAATATAGTTAGGGGCTGGCAGGGCATTCTGTCTCTTACAATTGTTTCAAAGTTATGCTTAACGAGGATGAAAATGATATAGCAGGGGTTGGGGAGTTATTGGTGAAATGTTAGGAGGTTCTCTATGCGTGGCAGCGCCCTCCCATCGAGCAACACTTGCCTCTTCGTCTTGAAAGTACGTATATTATGTCAGTGATTTGATGTGAGCCTTTAGAACTTCGTATTTGATTAAAACTCTGTTACCTTTCTTGGTTTGGTTTGGATAGAATTGAATGTAGACCTCGACAAAAGAATGTCTGCCTTCTGCAAGCTTCCTTTGCCGAAGTTCGGTTAGATTCAAATGCATAATACTTCGGTTTATACTTAAAACTGAACAAATGAGAGTAGATTTATCAAATTCTTTTTCATTTGAAGTCTTGATACTTCAAAAAAGGAGAGAAAAAAAGAAAGGAGGAAGTTTTTAGAGATTGGGAAGTATAATAAAGGTATCAAGGGTTATTTAATGAACAATGGAATTCAGGCCAGGTTTTCGTCCACAGTTGGACCTCAGCAAAGCAAAAATTCAGGAAAGTTTCGAGAAGAGTGACCTAACTTTCTCGGCTGCACTTGCTGTTCTACCAGACCTGCTGCTTAAACTAGTATGAACGAGGTATCTATAAAGACTATACTCTCTCCACTATGAGTCCAGCAGCTATATGAATCAACAAACATAAATATACTGCTTATAGTCCAATTTATCTATCTATCTTTGACCAAAGATATGGTTTTAATGCCATCTCAATTCTGCTGTCTTTTGGGGAACAATTTTGTGTTCATCAAACATAACACTTAATTTGATGCAGAGGCCACGATGGGTAACCGAACTTGACTTCAGGAGTTGGTGTGATGAGTCGCCGTAAGATGTTCTAGCATTCCCTCTCCTTTGCTTCAAGGGAATCTGTCCATCAATACCATACGGAGCTCTTTGGAGAACACAATACAATGAAAGTCAAGAAAGCGAGAGTCGCGCTCCTAACCTCAACAACCTGAGTGTGGTAGTCCATGTATAGATCTAAGGCAAGTCAGCTCCAAGTTGTCTGCTGCAGCTAAAGATGTTGATTGCAGCTTGCCATGATGAACAATCAGATGATCAAAGGAAACATTTACGACTGCGCTTGCACATTCGATCCATCATAGCTAAAGTTGGAACCATGTCCATGACAAATCACTTCACTGCATATAACAAGAACTTATGAATAATTGTTGATAATAAATTATGATATTTTCATTAAAATTGATGTCTCAACATCAACTGCCATGAATAAATAATGCCGTCTTAATTCTCTTTCCTTTTTTTCCCCTTACGGCCTGCTTATCTAACCTAGTGTTGTTTGGTTTATTTGACTCATTTTAGATAAATGTCAATTACAAGTTAATTAATGAAAGAAGATTAATTAAAAAAATAAATACTTAGATACTATTTTAATAATATCTCGGAAATGATGTTATCGGTTTCAAGCGTTACTTAATTAACACGTGATTTGACGGTGTCGTTATCTGCTTAGATATACTCGGTTGATCGAGTTCTAAGATCGAGTTGTCATAGGTCCATTTGTATTCCATAATTAGACCTTTATTCCAAAAAAAAAAATAAAAAATTATATATTCATAAGAAAAAAAAACTATTATTATTATTATTATTTGGGGGAAAAAAAGAATGAAGGATGAAGAAGGTGAGTCTTGTTGGGATGGATTTGTAGTCGGCGCGGTGGAGGCGAAGAGAATGAGTAGTGGCTTTAAATTGGATGAAATTAAATTAGATTAAATTAATTACTTGTTCATAAGCCTTTCTCTGTCACCGTAATTGTGGAATCCTCGGCCTTTCCCCAAGCTTTTCAGCGCCTGCAAAGTAAGATTTGTATGCTTTCTTTCTTCACGATTTCCCTTTCTTTGTCTTCCCGCTTTCACAATTATTATGCAAATATTCTCTCTCTCACACTTTGAAGGCCTCGCTGTGATAATCCCGTAATCTCTCTCCTTTAGGTTTCTACTCGGGTGAGTTTGATCTCTGTAAATTGCGTTTTCAAATCGCCTATTTTGTTATTCGTCTTGGATTCTCTCTTTCTGTTTTGCTCTTTTGTTTCCCACTCTGTGTTTTTGCTGCTGGAGTTTGTTGTTTGATTGTTTTTGAGGTATTGTTTATTGGAGAATAGGTTTGTTTGATCGTTTTTTGTAATCAGTGTTGTAATGCTTATGTTTTTCTTTTCCCCCTTAATGTTTTCACTTCGTCAGCTTCGTTGATGGTGTGGTTTTGATGATTTGGGGAAGACGTGGTTAGAGTAGGAATGGAAGACCCCAAAACCCCAGAAACCCTAAAAGTTCAAAGTCCTGCGATTGAAACGAGCGAGGATATTTCGGGGTTTTCTGGGTTGGCTGATTTGAGTGCGGGATTAACGGCGGAGATTCTGGTAGTTGAAAATGGCGTAGCGGTTAGTGATTGCAGTAACGAGGCTGAGATTAGCAATGTCGAATTGAGGAATGAGGAAGATGAGGAGAGAATAGATGGTTCTGAGAGGGAAATTTTGGATGCTGGTGTGGTTGCAGCAGGTGATGTTGAAGCAGACGGTGGTAATGGTGGTGAGGCTGAGAATGACCAGAAAGAAGGCAACACTGTGGAATTAGGTGGTGTGTCTACAGGTGAAAACTCGGAAGTCCCCGGAGATGGTATGCCACTTGCAATGGACTTCTCGAACATTCAGCAGGAAGAACCAGAACCTTCCAAGTCGATCGGAACAGAAGAAATGTCGAAAGAAGCTGGAGATGAAAAACAGGTTATTGAAAATGGTCAAGAGCACAAATTTTCGGTTGGTGATGTGATATGGGTCAAGACGAAAAGTCAGACATGGTGGCCTGGGAAGATATATCCTTCGGATGCAGCAGAGAGTGACGTAAGTAGCCGGGATGATAGTCTATTAGTTGGCTATTTTGGAAGCAGCCACATGACATGGTGCTCTTCATCTCAGTTGATACCCTTCGCTGATAACTTTGAGCAAATGTCTGGGAAATCCAAGTCTCGAAGCTTCCTCGGAGCCGTAGAGCAAGCCGTGGATGAGTTTGGTAGGTGTGTGAAGTTGGAGATGTCGTGTTCGTGTATTCCAGAACGAAATTACCCTTTAGAAGGTAATGGTGAATCAAAGGATACAGCTTCCCGGCGTGAGCGCAAGTCTAGTCTACTTGCTAAATATTCTATTGCTCAGTATGAACCCGAAACATTCCTAGCACGCGTTAAGGGTCTTGCAGAGACTGCTTCCCTATGTGGAGTGTTTGAGTTGAGTATCCTATACAATCAATTAGCAGCTTTTCAAAGCTCAATAGGACACGAGCAGTTACCTTTGCATCAACTCAGGGAAGCTCATGATGATGAAGACAATGAGGTGGGCAAATCAGTGAGAAAAAGCAAAGTTGGTGCTACAGTTGCAGATGAAGAACAGGTAGAAGGGGGCACACAGAGCTCGCCATTAGAGACACCATCCATAGGATCAGATGTTCTGTGCGAAAAGATGGAAGGGAAGAATGAAGATCCTAACAAGGTTCTAGATGGAAGCATGGAAGCTAGGAAAAGGAGCTCCAGAAGAATGGCAATTTCTAATGGAGGAATAGAACCAAAATCTGCAAAGAGAAATGGACATGAAAAAATTGAAGATTTTGAATCTAGTGAAATGGATTCCTCAATCAAGGGAGAGGTGATCAATCCATTAACAGATGAAATTAAGGATTCTGGTGTAGAAAACTTCGATGATGAGAGCAAAGGAACGCCAGAAAAGAGGTCTGAGACACGAGAGCGGAAGAAGAGCAAGTATTTATCTTTTCCATATATAAACTGGGGGCAGAAAGGTATGCCAGCTGAAACAGATGATATTAGAGCTCTTAAAATTTCTGGCGAAGATGCAGATGAATATGCAGTCGAGGGCCAGAATGAAACCCCATTGCTATCTAAATGCAGTGGCAAGTTCTGGAAGAAGTGGTACCGGAATATCACCAGTGGGAGCGATGTCGCTGATAATCAAGACTTGATGAGTGCATCACCAGCTGAGTTTCTCTCTGAGCTTCATTTTACTGCTGTAGATTGTCTTTATCCAAACGAAATCAGCAACTTTGATGCGGTTGCGCAGTTCTTCTCCAGGTTTAGAATTTTGATGTTTCATGATGAATCTGTCAATGGTGGCCAAAATGAGGCAATGGCTGCCGATTTATTTTTTCTTGGGGGAAAGGTGTCGGAGGTTAAGCATCCTTCCTCGACGCCTAAATCTGGGATCAAGAAAAGAAAAGGTCAGGCAATGAAATCCAAACTAATCTCTGGTGATGTGGATTTGACTGGACAACCTGAATTATGTCCTGCAGGAGATGCACAGAAAAAAAGTCCTCTGACTTCCAATGTGAAGTCAAAAAAAGATGGAGAAAGCTTGGGGAAATTGAAGACTAAATCCCTTTCTGCCTTGTCAGATGTGAACATTAACATAGATTCACCAGAGCTCGGACCTCTCTCACCCAATGGTTTATCGAAGCGGAGGAAGCGAAAGAACAATGAATCACATCCCCAGAGTAAACCAACAATGGAGATACCAGATTTAAATGGAAGCGGTACCGTATCTGGCGTGTTGGTGGATAATCGGCAGGCTGTGAGCCATGTCGTCTCCCAACAAAAGTCTGAGCCAAAGAAGAGAAGGAAACTTGGAGCTACTAAGGAGCATTCAAAGGTGTCTACTGAATTCATAGATGTGAATAACAGCAATAAACCTGGTTCGTTTTTTATTGATCTACAGGTCACAGCTCCGCAACCACTTGATGTAATTGTAGAGCAAAATAAAGTGGATTTTGCAGGAGCGCCTAACCAGTCAGTGAATTATCAGACAATTGGCCAGGATCAGAGCAAGACTGGGGGCAAAAAGCGAAAGAGGAAGGAGAAGGTTATCTTATCCTCTGATATACCTGATTTAAATCGAATGGGTATTGACATTAGTCAAGGAAAAAATTCCCAATTGACTAAACCTAAGAGGAGGAGGAGGAGGAGAAAAGGTGAAGCTAGTTTGAACCATCCAAATCCTTCTGACAGCAGATCATATATTTATAACAGAGTCGAAACTGATGGTGGAGGCTTAGGATCTTTTCTTCTTTTAAGTTTCTCTTCAGAAGCTCCCTTACCTCCCCGGGAGCAAGTTATTAGTACGTTTAGCCAGTTTGGATCATTGAAGGAATCAGAGATTCAGTTGAAAGATTCCACTGTTGAGATAGTTTTCCTCCGAAGCGCCGACGCCATGGAAGCAGTTCGGAGTTTAAAGAAGAACAACATTTTTGGCCCAACTCTTTTAAAATATCAGCTCTATCATCTCTCGGTTCCCCCCAAGACGTCAGACTCAGACCGGGCTTGCACGGCACTGGCGTATCCAGCTTCTGAGGGCACTCTGAACCCATCAAAATCAGGTGAATTAGGAAATCAAGCAGGTGAGACACCGCCTATAGAGTTTATAAGGAAGAACCTTCAGATGATGACGTCAATGTTGGAGAAGTCAGGAGACAATCTCTCCCCAGACATGAGAGCCAAATTGGAGAGCGATATTGAAGGCCTCCTCAAGAAGGTGAGTTCCATGGCGGGCCCTTCCTCAACGTAATAATGGAACCATTGTGGATGGATGGATGGTGTTGGATCAGGTTATATCAAGCCAGCCCCTCGTTAGTCTTGTTGATGTATTGTAGGTGTAGTTTATGTATTCTGGAGGACACACAGATGTTAACCTATGCGATTCGCGGAGCTTCTCGTTTTTATTAGTACTGCCCCTCCTCTTTGGTTACAGTATCATCGTGTAAGCAATGTGGAGCCTTTGTATTTCATGACATGATTCTCACAGCGACCTCCTTAAGCTTGCGCACACGCTTAGCGTATGCTGTCCGAGGATCAAATTCCTCAGTTCAAGAAATCCAAGATGGTCATTGCAAGCAATTGGCTAATAATCTCTATAGGCCCCTTTGAATGGTAAAGTTGGTTGTGTTAAATCAATGGGCATTTGACTCACATGGTAAGTAAGTATGGACTACCTGAAGCTATGTTTTAACCATTTTCTATAAGGTTCAATGGTATCTGAACCTTGTTTCATGGCATTACCATACTATTTCAAGTCTCAATTTTTGTCTCCGCTAGTAGTTTTATGAAAGATCAACAATAATAGTTAAACTTTCGAATGAATTGAGTACGAATAAGGTGGAAGCCATATTGGATTTTACAATAGAAATGGGCGTGAAACACGGGGCAGGAATTTCACATGAGCATTTCTACAAACAGGTTGCAGACAAAGGTCCTGGAAGGGAGTAATAATAATGCGATGATAGAATGAACAGACATCAGGCTGACGAATGAAAGCAAACAGAAGGAATCTACAAACCAAAACTTACTATCTGTACACTTTACACAGTCGAAAGCTTTCAGATTGAACGTCACCGGTGACGACGATATATAGTATTTAGCCAACACGTCCGACTGCAAACGAGGAGCTTTCTCAATAAATATGAACAGTGGATCACACACATTGCCCTGTCATACCCCATTGTCTTTCATGTTGGAGAGAGCCCTTCTCTATCTTCGATTTCTCTTTCAAATTTGTATTTAATAGATTTTAAAATTTAAAATTGGTTAGTGGATCACACACATCACTCGTTATGTTATAATTATTCTATCGGATGTTGGTAGTTTATCTCTTATTTTAATATTTATTGAACTAAAAAAATAATTATAGACGATGATGATGATAATAATAATAATAATAATAATAATAATAATAATAATAATAATAATAATAATAATAATAATAATAATAATAATAAAAGACAAGTTTTTTTTTTTTTTTTCTTATTCTAGAAATATAGAAAGAAAAAATAATAATAAATTTAAAAATTAAAACGTTTTTTTCCCTTAATTTATTCTTATATTCTTCATATTATTGTACTAATTTTTTAAAAGTCTTTTTTTCTTAATTTATTCTTATATTCTTACATACAAATGTCTCCTATTTTACAGCCAAAAGTCATGCATGAGGCTTCCAATACAATGGAGGAATATTTGTTGCATGTTTTTTTTTTATTTATTTATTTTTTTTTTTTTGTAGAGTTTAACAGCATAGCGGGTAGAAGGTTCAAGAGTGTCCGTTTTATATCAGTTGAGCTAAGTTCACATTAACTTGAATGCTCGTGTTTTATCAAGCATTAGACATAACAAATTAAATATAATTAGCACTTAAATAATAATAATAATAATAATAATAATAATTACGCACCAAATCACACTTGTTGTTTTTGTTTATACCACAAAAGCACTCCCTAGATAAGGTTCCTCAATATTACAAGAAAATCCTAAGAGAGAGCCTTGGATTTGCGGACACTATCCCAAGGCCAAAGCAAAAATCAGACGCATTTTGAAGAAACTGATAGCAAGAAAAAGGCACTAATTATGATAGCCACATTTGGACACTCCTTATAGTAACCAAGGCAAATAGTCGTTGATTTCGTTTGGATTGTGTACCATTTCCCTAACATATTTTACACCAATGGGTTCGTTGTCGATGGTCCATATCCATTCATCATCCCATTCCAAGACGACCCAATTCCATTTATGTATCCATACGATTCAACTTTGTCTGAACATCCCTGATCTTGCCATTCCAAAGCCAGAAGCTTTGTATTTGGTTTCACATCCATTGCATTTGGCTCCTCATTTGGTTCATGCTGATCATAAGGAATCATCAGTCCTTGTCCTATGGTGTTCCCATCGAGTGACAGCCCATAAGGGGAGCAAAGGCCATGGAAACTCGGCGACAGAGTATGGCCGGCGGCGGCGGCGATGTGATCTCCAGCTAGCCCACCAACCATGGCCAAGTGATCTGGGTTTGTAGGGTAATGAGCATTCCCAACAATGGCGTCCATTTTGGTGTCCATGAAATCAATGGGTCGAGTAGTGTGATGCTGGTGGTGACTTTCAAGCATTCCAATGGTGTATTTGGCGTCCATGAAACTTGGGGTTGTTCCAATGAGATGGTTGAAATGAGGGAATTGTACTTGGTCGGGAAATGAGAGATGGAGATCAGTGGGGTTGTGAATGTGATGGGCAGAAGAAGAAGAAGAGCCTTGGTGGTGATTTTGGGAGATGGGTTGTTGATTTTGTGGCTGTTGGTGTTGTGGGTCATTGGATTTCTTTGTAGTGGCAACTTTCTTGTTCTTTCGACAGCCACCACCGACAGGGATGTTACGAAGAGTGCCGCCTTTGGTCCAGTACCTACGACATGTCTTGCAAAAGTAACGCGGCTGGGTGAGGCTGTAATTGTTGTAGTAGCAAAATTTGGTGTGGGTTGAGTCACATCTTGGGCATTTCAGTGCTTGATCATGTGGGGGTCTAAGCCTCCTCTCTGTCAGCGGCCTTGAACATGACAGCATGTCCCCTGATAGCGACGAAGAATCCATGCCAGACTCCTCGTTAATGGTGCCCTGAAACCAAAGAAAAAAACAGTCACAAAAAACAGAGACATTTGCTCTGTTCTGTTCTGTTTTCTGCTCTGTTCTGATAATTATGGGAATTGGTTGGTGTTCTTACCTGCAGCCAATCAGAGGAGTCCATGCAGACTTGTAGAGAAGTTAGACCCATACGAATGAAGAACAGAGCAGAAAGAAAAAGATGTTTCCAGCAGCCAAACAAAAACTTCACTTCACAGTCACTCCATTGTTCCTCTGTTTCAGTTCCTCTGTTTATAAGAAGGGGATGTGAATAAGAAGGAAGAAAAAAAGGGTATATTTGAAGAGATGGAAGGGAGGGAGTGCGTTAGCAGAGATGATGTCAAAGTGGGTCCCATCCCAAGACTGTGTGTAGGGTGGTACCCCACAAGGAAGGGTAAAGCAGATCAAGAAATCCAAGGTGGCAGAATGGAGGGGTATGATTGGATGAGATGGTGCTGATGTGTAATTGAGGGGGATGGTAGTGAGAATTTTTGGGTCGTCGTTAAAGAAAGCATCTTGGAGTTGGGGACCCAAAAATGGGTAGGACCCTCCTGGCCTCCCCCTCCTACAAGCAAAGGATAGATTCTTGCACACAACGGATGTCACGTGCCTACCAATCTCATGTTGTTCTGGGTTCTTCTTCTTTTTGTTTTATATCTGCCTCTGTTCTTTCTTTTGGAACCATCAAAAGAAGCCTCTAAATCTCTGTTCTTTAGAACAGAGCAGCAACTGATAATATGGATAAGTATTGTTGCTAAGGGATCCATAGAAATGTAAAGGGAAAATGAAGAACATGTTAGAACATAATGGCTTCAGGAACACATTTACTTTCAACATTTGGTGCTACAGAAATTAACAGAAAGAAGAGATATGTCACTGTCAACCAAAATACAAAAGTCAGTCTGCACACCCCACGTTGGTTCCCTCTCTCTCGAGTTTTTTCGGGATCATATACGTTCACTCATTGAAATTTGTGTTTTAGTTCAATGTGTGAGTCGGAGATTCAAACGTCTGATCTCGATAAAAGAAGTAGTTAATATTCTTGTGGTTTTTCGGGATCATATATGTTCATTCTATCGGAGTTTTTAGTTCAATATGAGAGTTAGAGATTAACCTTAAAATACAGTATTGAGAAATTTAACCATTAAATATTTTATTTTTGTTGGGAATATCTTTGCCTTCCTTAAAAGATGTATTTATTTTATAAGATTCATACGAGACAAAGAGGTGGATAAAACTCTTTTTTTATTTTTTTTATTTTTCTTTTGTTCGAAAGGTTGGATGTATCGTTCACATATTTGAAAAATAAACGAAGTTTAAAATAAATAAATAGTTTTAATTTTTCAAATATTTTTAAGAGGGGAAGAATCATAATAAATAAAAAATAAAAAAGCATAAATCTCAACTTAATTTTTTTTATATATAAAATTAATATTGAGATAATGTTATATATCATAGTTGGGAGTGGCACATCATGATTCAAAATCACTTTTTTTTTTTTTTTTTTTGTCNATGAGATTTTTTATTTATAAAAAAATAAAAATCTTGAGTTTCAAGCAACCTCCAAGATGCTGGCATCTTTGATCTTCTCTTTATTTATGAACTTTAATTTGCATTTTTAACCTCCTCCCTTTCTTTCTTTTCAATTTTCGTGCCCTTTTACTTCTCAATTTTAAAAAACTCCCTCGATTTCTATTATTATTTAAAAAAATGCCCCAAAGGTAAAAATAATAATAAAAAATAATCGACGCATTCAAAAGTTGGTTTTTTCTATTTTCTTTTTATTTGCAAAATGTTGTATTTTCTGGTTCTTTTTTAATTTGTGTGAGAGGGGAAATTTGATTTTTTTTTTTTTTATCCTTTTTTAGAAAAATAATAATAATCTCAAAGTTTTCCCACCGTCGCCGGTGCCGGCGGTTATAATAAAGCCCAAACTTTTGGTCCACACCGTAATTCTTAATTAAATCATTAAATTTGATAATCTAAAAGACTTTATAATTTGAAGAAGAAAGGGACTAAAAGATGAAGATCGAACGGTGTAGATCTCATCATGAACAGGCGTGATTTGTAAATGTGGTCCCCATTTTTATGTGATTCTGGTCAAACTTAGCCACCTCGTTATCGCTGCAGTCAACGTTCCTTTATTTTTCACCCTTATACCTAATGTTCCCCGTATATTATATACAAAACATATATAATTAATTATATTCATTTTTAACTATTACATTAATTTTTGTATTTAAACAAAACTTATACAAGAAAATTTAAAATATTTTATTTAAAAAGTTTAAAATTTTATTCTTTTTATTTTAATTTTTTTTTCTATGAATTACCGTAATAATTTTCATATCTCACGATCTTACTTTAATATCTCAAGATGAGATATACTTTCTATACACCAAAGATTTTTGTTATTTATAATTCATATGATTCTGCCAACATAAATATAATTCATGATTAAAGGCGTCACTACTTTATTTAGGAAGTCATACGTCTAAATTCTCCTAGTTGCCATGTGATACAATGTTTTTTAAAGCCGTAAAAAGAACCATTAATTTAATACTATATTCTTATATCTAATCAATTATGTTACTCTTTTTTCAACCATACTTCTTTCATGA